GATACAGGAATCAGCTCAACCGCCTCCCCCACCTCGCAAACCTCGTGGCCGGATGTGGCATCGTCCGGTTTTGTGGTAGCACGATGCCCATCACGTGGTATTTCGCTCTCCGGCCTTGTTTGCTTTTCCAGAAACAGGCATGTATCCTCCCTCCGCGCAACGGCCGAGAAGGCCCCTTTGTCCTGCGGGATCGCGGCTGTTGAAAAAAACACCGCGTAATCTAACACACGAGAAACCGCTGAAGGAAATGGCCACTACCTACACTGTGGCAAGGCACGAACGGAAGAAGCAACGCTCGCTTCTGGCGCGGACGGGTAGTCGCCGCGTGGTTCAATCTGCTCAACGGCAGAAGGAAAGAGGATTTGGCATGACATACGATATGGAAGGTCTGGAATTTCTCGGCAGTCCGGGGAGTTGGACCACGCGACGGCCCCTAACGGCGGGAAGCCGCATGCGACAATGCAAATGTAGGTGTAGGGCGATGGAAGTAACAGGGTGGCAAGCATGACGGCAACGCGGTCGATGCCGTTGAGGGAAACCGCAGATAATCGCGTTCCAACCTGGATCAAACATTTCCTCACTTTTCTTCGTCGGGATGACGGCCGGATGTTATTGGTCACCACACCCGATCCTGGACATGCGAAGCGCAGAACTTGGAGATTGGATGGGTTTGCTTGCTTTTTGTTGTTCGGTACACTCTTTTCCCGGCCTCGTGCTTTGCTCGATTAGAGAGGTTCTTTATGGGATTCCGTTTCTGTTAGAGGGGATGTTCTGCGGTTTGAGTCTCAGTTAGTGAAGGGATCGGCGCGGCCTTGTGTTACCGTCTATCAAAGTTGAATTTAGAGGTGATATTGAGAGAAAGTCTGGACTTGCGATGCTGGAGGTTATGGGCTAGTAATACTAATCAAGTTGCATGTCTGCTCATCGCGGGTTCATGTCAAGCTTGACCCATCCTTGCTGAACAAATTTATGACCGATGGGGATTGTACGGTCTTGTCTGAAGTCGGCGATGGCAGTTTGGCAAGGAACGAACCTCACACTGCAGCTTTAGCTTTGGGCATGTCCGTATGGAATCACGGAGTCCGGTAGACGATATACTGAGATCATTCCAAATGTTTATTGCTCGAGACAAATGCAGCAACCCTTGCGTATTCTGGGGCTCATTGCCAGCGAAGAGAACACTGGCTTAATGGGACATTCTGAAAGCTTTCCTTGAGAGATACACTTCGACACTGCTGCTCGTCACACTCCAGAGCTTCCTCACGCCGTCTGCGTGTCTCGTGTCACCCACATGGTCTATACTCTAATACGAATTCACAAGTCGATATACCAACATCACACACAAGTCTATAAGATATCACATCAGGGAGAGCGCGCACGGGAAGACATCGCGTCTTGGCAGCGCGTATACCAAGACCGAACTGGACGTGACCGCAGAACCTCTCGCCCTGCCGGCTTGATATCTATGCCAGTTCCTTCGGCTGCTTGCAGAACGCGCGCGGCGCCGCTCTGCCGGCCGGGGCGCGCGAGAGGGAGTCAGGGAGGCTTTGACGTTTTCGTCCTGAACGTCCCGTTCTCCCCCTTACCCCTTTGCACTAGCCTCCGGCGAACCCAGAAGCCACGCCGCGTGGTGAAGGTGCCAGAGTGAGACGTGGTTGTGAGCCACACTGAGCCTATTCCCCAAAAGGCGTCGTCGTGTGAAGGAGAGCGAGAGGACTGTGCGGCGCCGCTCGCTGCCCGCCCTCTCGTGCAGGAAGGGGCGGGAGAGCGGCGCGCGGTGGAGGGGACTGGAACTGGTTCGGGGCTTTTTTTTCTGGAGCGATCTGCGCGCCGCTTGGCTGCCCAGGGCTTCGGGTCTCCGCAGCCTTTTTTATTTTCTGCGTTTGCTAGAGGCCGCGGGCACATTAGTTCACAGATATCCCTGGCTCACTTAAGATTCCCTGGGAGCTCGAAGGAGGAAGATCGAGCAGTTCGCAATGTGCGTCGAGTGATCGGCGGGGTCCAGAACGCCGTGGGCCCGTTTCCCTTGGTGAATCTCATCGCACGTTTTTGATGTTTTTTTCTTGGTAGGACTGGAGGACGGGGAGGGCTTGTCATGTCTTCGTTTCGTGTTTTTGGGTCTACTGCGTCAGGAAATCCGGCACGATTGAAGGAGAAGCGTGAACGAGCCCTCCCCTCCGTCCTGTCACAGAGCCCTGGCACTGACTGGCCTGGCTTGACTAGGCTGGAATCGGGCTGGCTCGGGAGGGTAAGCGACGCCTACGCCTGGAGGCTGGAGCGAGTGTGAGGTTGGTGGGCTGGTTTTTGCAGGGAGACCTGACACGGGTCTCTGACTGAGGTGAACGGGCGGGCGAGCGGGCGTGGGCGTGGTGGATGTTGTGTCTTCAAGTCATCAACTCTGCGGGCGTCATTGAGGCTCTCCTGGATAGTAGACTGCTCGTTGGCGTGAATTGTTCCCGCTGTCAAACCATGGTGTCGTCGGCCCCTTGCCGTTTCAGTTGAGTTCGTATCTCGAATCTGGAGATCGGGAGAAAGGAGGCGAAGTCGATTTATCGACAGATCGTTTGGTGCGGTGTAACTGTCAAAATCATCAGTATGGGCCGACGAGCAAGCAAGACAGTCGCTCTCGAGTCCGGAAAGAGCAAGTGGGATCCGCGCATCTGAGCTTGTAAGCTGCGACACTGCGACGTTGACGGAGGGGTCCCTTTTTTTCGTCGGTTTGAACCCCCTCGATTATGGAGTAGAGGTAGGAGCAGAGACTCAAGAGGGAAGGAAATGGGGTATCGCGTAGATGTTATAGGTGACCCCAAACATTGTAAAGTCTGGGTTCCTTAGACATTGGAAACTTGGAAACGGGTCCGTATTTTCTGTTTAAGCGTTTCTCTCTCAGGCCTGAGTTCCCATATTGGACTGTTTTGGCAGAGGTCGCCGCGTTGGGTTCCCGTCGCTCGTATCGGATGACAGGCGGGCCGGTTGTCAGGTTGGGACGCATGGCATCAACTATCGATGCGGTGCGTGCCGGAAAACCAATATTGGGCGGAACATTGATTACCTGCTGCAAGGCAATGCGGGCTTTGGCGAGACGAGGGGAGAGACTACCGAAGACCGACCGTTACCTAAACGTCAGCAACCGTGGTTCAAGAACGGAACGAGGAACGGTCCAGCCATTGCAATCTGCACCGGCCACGCCATAACGAGGGGGATCATATTGCACAGGATGACCCGGGGCAAATTTCGAGATTGAAATGATGACTTGGAAAAAACAGTTTAAAGGACGTCTTACTGCTAGCGTGAGGTTTGTGAAAGTGATTGTGGAGAGCATTCAATTCGCGCAATGGCAATGATTGGAGACTGCCACGCGCGAAATGTCCACTGACAGCCACCACCACTGTCCACATCTCACGCAAAAACAGGAAAGCAGTCAGCGCCAGCAGCGATGAAGCCGGCAGACGGCCTTACGGTATTACTGGCAAGTGCGTGCCGGTATGCACGTTGTATGGCTTACTTTCTGGGCACTTTAACAAACTGACCATTGAGAGCAGGGAGGAGACAAGATACGTGCCGATTACATAAGGAAGCACGGTCCAGCTGGCGAACTCGGGGTTCAGGAGCCCAGGCTCTTAGGTACCTTACGCAGTACTGGACCTGCCTGAACGGAAAGCAGGGGTGTCGGGGGAATCAAGGGATCCACAGCCGAGCAATGCCCCCTCTTCACCTCGGAGACTACACCAATCAAATCCCTCAGCTGCCCTGTCCTCACGTTTCGCCAGCAGCATGACCCCTGCCCTCTCAATCTCTCGTGCCTGTGTCCCGCAGATTTCGCCTTTTCACTTCGCAGGCACAAGCAGGCACAAGCAGGCCACCATTCCTTGCGTCTTTTCCCCTTTCAGCTCTCGCTCCGCCAGCCCGCACCACCCAACGAACGCCCACCCACCACGGCACCACGCACCGCGCCCGCCCAGGCTGGAAAACCAAGCACACCAACCACCACCACTACCACCAACACCACCACTACCACCAACACCACCACTACCACCAACACCACCACCATTCACTCAGTGCCAGTGCTAGCCAGGGAAACACGCCCTGTCCCTCTCCCCTCCCGGCTGCCATCTCATTCTCTTCCCTCCAATCCCCCCCGTTCGTCTCTCATTCTCTCGCTTGCTTCGCCTCCCTCCGATCCGTCCACCCTTCCATCCAATCCACCATTTCTCCCCCAGGCCCAGCCCACCGTTCCATCCAACACCCACTTCACCCAAAGACGCTTCGCTTCCTCTCCTTGCTTTGGGTCTGGTCTGCTCACTTTCGTTTCTTTCATCACCCTTCCTTTCCTCCACCCAACATCTCCAGGTTCTGGTTCTGGTTCGGTTCTCCATCTTCGACCAAATCACCACCAACCTGCCGCCGCCGCCGCCGCCGAGTCACCACCCGATTTCCGAAGACGACAAAAGACTTTCGAGCCCCGTCCTTTCGTCGTCGACTACCGGCCGACAAACCAACCAACCGCCGTTGATGTCTTTCACTTCAATCGCCTAGACGCCCTTTAACAACCACCACCACCAATGTCGAGCTAGTCTCCCAGTCCACTCGTTATCCAACTACCTACCCTCACTCTTCATCCTCTCGCTATCTTCCTCTTCGTCGTCGTCGTCACTCGCCCTTTCTCCCGACATACCTCGCCAACCCGCCCGTCCATTCCAGTCCCGACCACGCAAGCCATTACGCCAAGCCATTCCTCGACCTGCGAATCCGACAGCCTGCGAGTGTCTTATCAGAGGCGACGTTTTCTTTCTCATTTATCCGTATATCTATCGCCGTTCCCTCGAAATACGCCTTCTCCAGTACCGACCTCCGGTCTCTTCCATCCGCCTGTGTGATCAGCCCCCAACAAGTGATCGACACATCTACACCCAACGGTCTCGCTTCACAGATCGACATCGCTAGATCAGCGTTGTCGATTATTTATTTTTCTTCACCCAATAGCCAGATCGACAATCATCATGGCTCAATTCGACCCTAACCTCCACCTCCGCTCCCTCGAGGAGCTCGAAGCTGGTATGTTTCCTCTCGTCGCGGCCAGACGTCACCAGGCCTTGCTGACACCCTTTGCAGTCATTCTTCCCCGACAGAACGGCTGTCTCAAGTGCGAAGACAAGGCGCCATCATGTCCTACCAACTGCAAAGACGATGAATTCTGTTCCTTCACCATCCCGACATGTAACCAATGCGCTCAAGCAATCTGCGCCAAGGACGACAGCAAATCCAGCTCCTCATCAAGCAGTGGCCCTAACACGGGCGCCATCGTTGGTGGTGTGATTGGTGGTCTGGCAGTCATCGCCATCGTTACTTACCTGGTATGGCGTTTCTTCATCAAGACTAAGCGCCAGTCTATCATCCAAGAGTCCTACATCGAGGACATCCACGAGAAGACAATCAACGAAAAGCTGGAGCCGCCCCGCGCGACCAACCGCGATTCCACACACACCGTCCACTCGATTGCGTCAACAGTACTCACCCGTGCTTCAAACATAATTCAAATCGCCTACATCCCGGGTGTCACGAACCGAGCCACTCCCACATCACCGACTCTCCTCGTTCCTCCCGTCCCGCCTATCCCGATGCACGCCTCCAACTCCGCCGCCAGCAGCCCGTCCCCCTACGAGGAACCTCACTTCTTTGTTCCCGGCGAGCTCCGCGATTCTACCTATTCCGGCATCTCTGGCTACTCCGACAGAACCTCCGTCGCGAGAACCTCATACGCACCCCGTTCCAGCATCGCTCCCAGCATTGCGTCAACTATTTACGGCAAGAACGCCGTTGTTGTGGCACCCGCTCAGACTGGAATGCGCGCCAAGGCTGCAGTAGTCAGCGTCAAGTCTTTGGGCGTTGGCACTAGCGGCAGCAGCACTCCTCCGGTTCCGAGCGTCGACTACGAAAAGTACAACCCCCGTCCCAAGAGCCGTGACAGCACCTTCAGCGTGGGATCTACTTTCTTGAACAACGCAACTACCGCCACTGCCGCTCCTGTACAAAGAGTGCAAGTTGTACGTGTGGGAAGCGGCAACGGTCCCAAGCAAGTCAGTGTCGGATCCTCCAAGGCGTCGTCAGCAGACGAGGCCTCAGTACCGGGCACTCCACCACCACCTTCCGCTGGCCGTGACTCCACTGCTGTGACGGTCATTGAGGAGGTGGAGAGCCCAACAGGGACCGAAGGCCCCTTCTCTGACCCTCCTGAACCCAAGCCCGCCGCCATCCGCAGCACTCACAGCCTGAGTGCGGTGATTGAGGAGGCGACGAGGCGAGCAGCTGCAGGCCCCGACAGACGGTCCACAAGGACAAGCTCTCACGAGCGGGGCCGCAGTCCCTTCGGTGACGAACACGCCACCAAGGACAACTAAATCACGAAAGAAAAACTACAAAACCCATATGATGGGCGTCGGCCCTGATCACGAATTACTCATCACTATTTTACTTGACTATATATCAGGGATGATCTCCCATGTTTCTTTCTCGTACCTACCTTTTTTGCTAGACGACCCGGTTGGAATAAGCCTACGGGACCAGACCGAGGGACGACTTTGGATGGACAGGACTCTTATGGAAAGGCACTGGCGTCGTGGATATTTTGAAGCTACTATTTTGCTGGGAGGAAATATTGAAATGATGCGTAGAGGTGTACGTCTACCCGTTACGCCTGTAGCTATGTGTCTATTGAACAGAGATGTGATTCTCCATCCACTACTTTTACTTACCACTTTTGAACATGCTGTGTGGAATGTGTGTCGTGTAGTTACTCGTATGTGTGAGTATGAATGAGGCTTAGGTGAAGTCGTCAGCGCCGGGAAAGTCGGCCCCGGCCGCGTGTCCTCGCCTCATTTGAGGAGAGATCGTCAAACTCGAGAGAAATAACGGTCGGGGCATCGTGATACAGTTATGTTCGAACCAAGACCCCTTGCCTTGAGTGGCACAAAGAAGCGTGTTCAATCACTTTGCGCATTGAAGGAATGCAAAAAGCACGCATGACAGGAGGACATGAAGATGTCAAAAACATACGCTAGAAATCAAAAATGAGGCAAAATGTTCCGAAACCGAGAATCGAACTCGGGGCTATGCCTAACCTCTCAAGTTCGTGAGAGGGCATCATGTTGGCCACTACACCATATCGGATGTTGATGGAAGGTCTACATAATAAAGGGATAAGAAGGCTAGGGTGATGTAGAGTGGGTCGGGCTGATCGATTAGACCGCTAAACCGGTAGTGTTATATGGAAGGAGCGCGGGTTTGTCTGACTCGGCGAGTCAATGCGTGGATATTGCGTTCAATCTGACTCTGTCTATTTTCTCCCCCTTTCTGATATTGTTTGAAAAGTAGCTGGATATTGGTGAAAAGAGCCCTGTCCCGACCCGACTGTACATACTCATTGAGCAGAGTAGGTGCGGTAAGTTTGACGAAGGTGGTGCTGTTCAGGGTTTGACAACAACGACAACTGTTTAGTTACGATGTTCTTATCTGGGTGAATTGGAGGTCCGGATGATCGGCATGAATATTGGGGAGATGCTTGGAAGGGGAGACTGTGAGCGGCGGGATTGGCTGGTGATCGCTGCGGCAAAGGGACTGATTATCGTCACCCACGCGGGCGGTGCAGAGCGAAACGGGGACTGCACGCGGACAACACCTTTCACGCGGCGGATGACGAATAGGATAACGAGGTTCGGTTGAGGACGATGCGTGATAGATTGGCTCTTCTCTGTTGTGATACCGAGATGCTTTTGCGGAGATACTAGGTCACAGAGACTGGGGGAATTCGCATGTCCCCGGGTCGCAGGACGGAGGCAAGGTGCTTGGCTACATAGTTAAGGAGCGTACTGATGGCAGGATGTTTGGAGGGTAAGTGAGCTAGGTTGTTGAAAGTTTCTTGTTTCGCTGCTATCCAATCTATCCTACAATCTAGTAAGGTCAGAAGCAGGCATGATCATGTGGTGGTCTTGACGCGACGTGGGAGAATGGTATTTCACTTCTTCGTGTATTGAAATCAAAATACGAGGGCGGTGATGGCGGACGATGACGAGACTTATCTGGGTTCTTCTTCTGTTCACCTTCCAACACCGAGGTGGTTGTGATGGAAACTGTCGTTGCCAGACACTTCATACTGGTTTCTCAGGACGCTATGAATATTTTCGCAGACATATTTGCTGGTGCTTCCGAAGTCAGAGGGCATGCGAGAAGGAGAATATATACACACGATGCGTGTGGACTGAAATGAGTCTTCTCGTTGAGATTGCCTAGTGTACGTCGCCAACCGCGATAGGCGTACCTTGGTCTCTCTGTGAGTCTCGAATGTGGCAAGGATGTTATATAAACAAAGAAGCGTTCTAATTTTCTACTCTTGTTTTCATTGCTCCAGGAGCATGTCGCCGTCATCGGTGGTAATCTCCATGGCAGAGTAGCTGGTTGAGATGGAGATGGCGCCTGGATGGCCGGGGGATGTCAGGATCAAGTTGTACTTGTGTTGCCCTTGCTTCCGTCACGGCTTACACATGGAGAATACTGAATACGCGAGAAACAGGCCATGGCAGAGATGAGGGACGCCGCTATTCCTAGGCCTTGGACCATTTGAACACGCGGCGTCATGGAATAGAAACGTGATTACAGAAGTCAAGAACGAGTCTCGTTCACAGGCAACCCTAGCAGTTGCATGCAAGCTGTTGATGAGGCTACACACACGGACTGCTTAGACATCCTCAAGGGCGGTCATTCAGGGCAAGCTCGTCAGCGGGCCTGGACTTTTATATATGTTTGCTTCAGCCGACGCCTCAAAACCGTCGTACACGACTGAGCTTCCAGCGATTTAAATGATTCTGAGCAATATCATTCCAGTTTCTTAAATTCCTTCGAGATGTCAATTTCGTGCGCAAGCATGATCTCAACATGCCATTGACTGAGAGCTTCAGCTCGGCGTCATGACAACCGCTCAACCAGGGCTCACAACAACATTCGCATTCTCATCATATCCCGTTACTGTCTTATTTCCTAGTGTATTCTCAGCAGAATACCATGGAAATCAGAATGATGACTGACGACGACATGGTGTGTCAGGGCTCTTCTCTCACCTTCCGGCACCAAGGTGGTGTCTGTGATGGAAACCGGCACTGCCGAACATCTATGAATGCCGTGACTACACACCGACACCGGACTCCGGTCGGCTGTGGCTATGTTTCAAATGGAGAGAGGGAGAGAATATATATGATACGGATGACCTTGCGCATTGCCAGCATACCCAGCCAACTCTCGATGAGAATGCCACATTTAAGACTGAGTATCCTTCTCTATTACTCCGATCCTCCCACCCTAGGATGGGTGCAAGAATGTGGTAAGTGATCAATTTAGTAACAATGCGCCGGAATGCATAGGTGGTATGGGAATGGTAAATACAGCTGGCCATAGTTACCGCGTCTATTACAGCTTGGACACCGCGACTCAGAATACACGAGAAATACCGAGGTGGAGGGATGAAGAAAGTCGGGACGTTATAGACATCATGCCGAGTTCCTCTCATCATCGGGACCTAGCTAATTGGACATGCACCCGGACAAACAGCGTTGGTACCAATAGGTATCAAGACCATGAGTTGCATGCAATATTGCGATGATTTGGCAGAAAGCTTACCAACCCACGTGGGCTTTCAAACAGACTTGAATCGACCAGAAAACCACTGCACTGAAGAATCGTCATTGAATAAAGAGGGATATCACGGCCTTCCCAAAATCAGTCGCGTTTTTGTAAGAATACCACAGCGAGGTCACTGTCTCTGGAACGGCACGAGCTATAACAACATACCTAGTAACCCAGATATCCATGGAAGGGGATTAGAGAGCCATTGGAACCTTTGTGAGGCTTCTTAAGCCCGAGCCAGCGGCGCTCGGCTCGTTTGCGTTCCGGTGGCATAGTAATGCATGAATATCTAGGGACGGTACTGGCCGATACGCGTCTCTGAACTGATACGGATACTAATACGAAGAGGACGGAGACGCCTCCGGACGATTCAAAGCATCATTCCAGCACTTCATTGCGCCAATAGATTTGCGTTAATTAAAGGTGTATTGTTTCCACGCCACTTTGATCCCCCGTCGATATCTGCCTTCTACATCTACTGAATGAATTCCGACAGACCATTCTGCTCGTCAGAAAGCCTGGTAACAACTTGCTTGGAGGCGAGTCCATAAGAATAAGTGGACTGTGTGACAACTCGCTATATCTCGTGATATTTTGTTATCTTCTTTGTTGGCCGTCGTTCCTCCAGCTAGTGAAAAGTTGACATGTTGCGTCCTTGGTCGTCGAGCAGCTGTGTCTATAGTGACCCGCTTCCCTACAGAGAGGACGACACAAATCCCGCAACTCTCAGCAGGATTAATGGATTCAACCCTCTTTAAAGGCACCATATTGTTCACAGCAAGTTCTCCTTCACTATTTTCGCGGGTCGTGCATTGCGAAATCTGCGTTCAATCAAGAGGTTGACTGACGTTGACCACATAGTCCACAGCGCGCAGCCCCCCACTAATACCATTCAAGTGAGTGAATTCACTTCCTTCTCATCCATTACTCTAGCGCGACTAGTTCATCTCCTCTCTCCATCTCGGTCGTCGTGTAAGTATACATGCCGAAGGTTACCCAACTCCCGTGTCCCCAAAACTCCAAAAAGGTGAAAGATTAGATACTATGAACACAGCCCCCAACGCACCGACAGATGACACTGAACAAATCTTGCAGAAAGTCCAAGGCTACTCCATCTGTGAGCCTATATGCTTTCGAACCACGTCAATGACCGAGTTTAAATACTAATGAACAAAGCCGGCGGCATCTCTGTAGAACCCCGTCGACGATCCGCTTCCCCGCACCCAGCGACGAGAACATCTAAGCACTGGGCCTATTTATTAGACCTGTCCGGGTCGGTATTTACTTCTTCTTCAACCTTGTTCGGTTGACCGTTAGGTTTGGAAGAACGAGAACGGTGTCAGCAGCCTCGGCACGGTCAACGCCCTGGCCGCGCGGAAGCTGGATGATGCCTCCATGACGACCCCAAGAATTCTCCTCCTCGAATAAGAACAAAGAAGATAGGAAGGACGAGGAATGAAGGAATATATGGAAAGTAAATCTCAAAGTGATGCAAGCCTGGTACCGGGATTCACCAAGCCCAGAGCGCAATGCTCTGTACTGATGACCCCGAAGGTAGAGCAACACCATAGCTACAAACTTGGCCCTCAGAAGAGCAAGTTCGAAAAGAGGCTAAATAGTAAATACTTGTATTGAGACCAGACATCGGCCGACTTTCTCATAGAATGCTGATATCCCCACGATACCATAGATCGCTTGGACTCGAGTCTGCCTGGGCATTTTGATC